GTTCACACAAAAAGATCGGATTTTTTCAATAAATCAGAACTGAGCATTAAGACCTGCAGTGTGAACGTAGCCAGAGACACTTATTATCAAAAGTTCTATAAAATAATGATATTTTTCCACTTGTGAACAGCTGTGAGCTACATCCCTGAGAAAGTGGTGGCACGATCAGGGGAGACGGTCACGGTATACTGCATTTTCAACGACCACAGCGTCAACGCCAGCACGGCCATGTGGATCCTCAACTACACACATCTGCTTGATCGCAGCCAGTACCACCCAGTCAACCAATGGGTAAAATACAACTTGCAACTTTAAAAAGGGACTTATTATGGACTATTACCCATTAAATGCAAGTCTTCCCCTGTTGACATMTTTTAATTCATTTKAAAAAGAAAACATTTCTGYGMCGCTATATAGTCATAAACCCCTCTATCAAACTAGAATGGGCCGCTCTGGAAGCTGGAGGTGGGGCGGGGTTTGAATCACCTCGTTTGCATTTAAAGAGACAGCCTCGAAACGAGTTGATCTGAGACATCTGAGAAAAGAGGGGCTTGTAGAGTTACAATAAGGAGGAATTCAGACCAAAGCATTGCAGATCCACTTTATATAGACCCCAAGTGAACGATTTYAATGTGAAAAAGAAGAATTTAAAAGAAGAAAACAAATATTGACTTCTTTCAAACCAGGTCAGCCGGGTCACAGTCCGTGCTTCAGACACTGGGATATATGACCTGCTCAGGTGCACACAGAACTGGAGCCACTCTTACAGCCAGATATTTGTAGAAGGTGAGAACCGTTGTTCCGAACCGTCCGACACTTTCAACACCAAAGATAACAGAAAGAAAGTTTGTTTTTGACTCTAAACTTCATTTTTCTTTGTAATTCAGGAGGCGCCATYGATATAACCTGTGTTACCAACGGTGACCTCGATGCCATGGTCTGCAGATGGAAGAAAGATGAGTGGACTAAACTCCAATTCAAATACAAGTAAAGCAGCCCTTATTATATTCAAATGTTCCCCGTGAAGTGTGTTTATATGTGATAATAACCCCCACCCCCAACAAACAATTAGGAGTCAGTGTGCCAAAAACATGGAAGCAGCTGAACACAATGTTCCAGACACACCCTGGAAATACGTTTGTGCAACTCTGTGCTTCTACTTCGGTGCCATCGTTGTGTCAGGCATCAGTGAAAGAGGGAAGGYCCTCATTTATATCAACCACAGCCAAACTAATACATTTACTGGAGATAGACAGAGTGGTAATTATAAAAYTTAATGACAACTGTTGATAACCGGAGCACAAACATGTTAAACATGTGTGAATTCTCATTGTATTTTTGTAATTTTTATAACTACACTTCAAAAAATTACCCATCTAACCAAGCCTTAGAATTGTCTGTCGAGCCAAAAAGTGTTTTTGATTTTGTTTTGCTTGCGTGGGTACTCCGGTTTCCCCCACACCCCAAAAACATGTACTATAGGTTGCCGGGACTTGCCTGGTTAAACAACGCTAAAATCAAAAAAATAAAATAAAATAAGTCTAATAAAGGGGAATTATCTTCCTACACTGGCAGATTATTCCACTYAACTTGAGAAGATTTTGACTATAATGTAATATTTGTGTGCATATCTTCAGATGTCTGATTTTTGCAGCGTAACAGCCTTTTTTTTAGCTTCATCTTTACACCTGCAAAGTTTTAGTTCAAGATCTTGAAGCATTTTGGCTCCATTAGTKTGGTAAAAGTTGCCCACAGACAAAAACTAGTAGACAACACCTGTTTTAGCAACAAAGACCTCCTTTGTTTTAGTTTTTCCTCCTGCRGTAGAGCACGTTTTCACATTGACACACAGACACGCTTGAAACAATTTGAAGTTTAAAGAAAAAGAGCTTTGTCRTTGCAGATGGAACCAATTGTTTTTTAGTTGAACTAAAAAAAGAGAATGTAGATTTGACACTAAAATAAACACACTTCACTCCACTTTATTAAATTGAGAMAAAGAAATGTTTCGACTTGACTTATTTCTTTGTTTCCTCTCAGGTGGGTGGATCTGCCGTGTGACGAGATGGAGAAAAAAGAGCGAGCGGGTGAGACCGTGGGGACGACGGGACCCACCTGCATGCAGGTGACCTCCAAGCAGAAAGCTTGCACCATCCACCCTCTGAGGATGAACTGCTACAAACTGTGGCTGGAAGTCCCGTCCCATCTGGGTCCAGTCAGGTCCAAACCAGTCTACCTGTCACCTATAGATCACGGTGAGCAAGACACGCAAAATCTTATTATTTATAACAAAATAGGCGCTTTTTTAAACAACCCTTCAATGATTTGATTTCTTTATGATGTTGAAATAAAACTTGTTAGCTGCAACTGACTAATTCTGGTGTTAACAACATAAAAATGAACTTACACTGTAGCTGGCACTTTATTTGTAATGATTATGTACATTAAAAGAAAGAACTGRAACTAAAGATGAAATAATTACACAAAGATCATTTTATGTTTAAAATAAAAGTTTTACATGAACAAAGACATAAAACTACATACAACATTATCATACCATTTAACTAAAACCTTAGTTAAAATGATCAATATTAGTAAAAACATTAGTGGTAAAAAAAATTAGGGATGCACCGATATCAGGTTTTCTCAAATCGAGTACAAGTAGTACTTCAGATTGGGTACTTGCTGATACGACACGAGTACTTACTGAGTTAGAACTTAAATATTATGCAGTGATTATAAAAACACAATTTTAAAATTAGAATCTGGCTCTAAATCAGATACATGTCTGATGTTTGTCAAAATGAACCAGTGATTTATAATCCAGGTCCTCGAGGACCATTTTCCTGCATGGTTTAGTTGTTTCCCTKCTCTTCAGCAAGTGTTTAAGTTTTGTAGAAGCCTGTCAATCRCTCATTCATTGAAATCAGGTGTGCCAAAGCAGGAAAACATCCAAAACATGCAGAATAGTGGTCCTCAAAGACCAGGATTGAGAGCCACTTATATAAACGGTCTTACTGCATTTCTYAGATGTTTATGACTGAGAGGTGGGGGTTTACAGGTCGATCTAAATAATGATATTAACCTTGAGTCGTGCAGTTTTTAAATCTTTTATCACCAMACGTCTTCAGCTACAGAACTGCCATCCATCTCCTGAATGACTGAGAATTCACAAACATCTAATAGTAACGGTTGAACCGAGTTGATACYAAAGTGGATCAATATTTTTGTTAGCTTTACTTGGAGCACGATGCGTTGCTCTCATTCCATAAAATACACACTTCACCRAAGCATCCGGTCAGAAGGAGGTTAAAATGTAAACCAAGAACTAAACAAGCATGTCAGATAATTATTTTATTGGTTCTGATTGAACAACAACCTCAGAACCAACAAGCTAAGTAGCATCCACCGTAACGACCTGTTGTTTACTCCTGTAAACTGTCAACTTCTGTGCATGCGTATCACATCGGTGGCACAAAGCTTTCACACTGGAGTCTAATGGAAGTTGCATTTAAAAAGTGAACATCCATGCAAAAAAAGAGTATCTTTGTGTCGGGCATTTTGACTGAGTACTTGTAAAATGCTGGTATACCCAATACCAGTATCAGTGCATCCCTAATAATTTACAACACTGAAAAAAAACCACCTGTTGGATTAATGACTGTATTTTAATGATATTTATTTCTCCACACATCATAAAGATTTACTGAAATTTTATGACACATGCTGAACTTCTGTCTGCCTGACCTGCAGTAAAACCTCACAAACCCACCCACGTGAGCGCGGTGAGCCGGAGCAGCGGGGTCCTGACGGTCAGGTGGGAACCTCCGTCTCTGCCGATCGAGGGTCTCCAGTGCCAGTTCCGGTACCACTCCCTCAGCGTGATAGAGAAGTGGACGGTGAGATGTTGCATCGGTTTTTCATCATCAGTCCAACAACAGCCGGTTCCCCTTCAGTTCGTTAACATTTTGTACACATTTTATGTATAAAAATATGATATTGATTGGGATTTCTGCAGGTCCAGAGTCCGGTGCGGGTCCCCTGGGCAGAAGTAATGGTACCAAACATGTGCCAGGTGTATGTAGTTCAAGTACGCTGCATGCACATCAACGGGATGGGCTACTGGAGCGAATGGAGYGACTCTGTCAACTCCACAACTCAAAACAGCAGAGGTAGACTTTTAATACATCTACGCTTTGAAGACAACAGCTTTGTTTCTTAGGTGCAGCATTGTTCAAGTGAATGATGGAGTATTATGACCACACTACTAGATTTCCTTTTTTAATCAWGGGAATAAAGTCATAATTTTACATGACATGTCCATTCTTCATTTCTAGTTTGGCTCACATGTGGACAGCCTCTAACTGTGTCACTGTTTATAAAGTAGTCTGATTACTTTTTGCTCACTGTTAGTGTTATATGTTTCCATCCACATTATGTGACGATTTAATCTGTCAATGCAGCCATTAATATGCCATACAGCTTCAGTTTATCATATGAATCCATAGAGTCGTTTACACCAGTGGTTCCCAAACTTTTTATCTTCTGACCCACAAAATATCCATGGCAAAAACTCGTGACCCCAAATATTACTGGTCTGAGTACACAAACTTTGTTAATAACCCTAAAAACACAGGCTTTTTGACAATCTAAACAGCTTATACACAAAACTATTTATTTATACTTATTTTGTGTTTTTGTAATAATTATAGGGAAAATACAGTATTACATCAGCAATTATTTTATTACCCTTTAAATTGATTTCTGGAGATTATCCAAGGTGCTTCATGACTCATAATTGGGTCCCAAGTCCAACTTTGGGAACCAAAGTGCAGTGGTTCCAAAACTTTTCAGCTTTTGACCCACAAAATAACAGCAGAGACCTGTGCCCCCAACTATTTTTGGATGATAAACATTTGTATCAGGTCAACTAAACATAGGCATAGTAACAATATTTTTAAACTACATTTATCCATTTTAAATATACTAACCTCACTCCTTTGTAACAACTAAGGCAAAAATGTAATTAATTCAGAAAATCTTTTCAGGACCCCACTTTGATGTTTCGGGACCCCACTTTGGGTCCCGACCCCAACTTTGGGAAACACTAGTTTACACAATCGTTTCAAAGTCCTGCTACTGATAACATATCAGCATCAAATTATTAAAATATTAAATAATTCCTTATTTGTAAAACTGATTCTAAAGTATACCTTCACAAGATAATCAACCTCATTTTAACGCAGCGGTAAGACTGATTTACTTGTACTATTATGACTTTGTTCTCATAATATTCAGCCTTTTTTTGCAATATAACAACTTYATTCTTGTACAACTTATTTTTCATAATATTAAGACTTTTTAAATTTTACAACTTTATTCTCATACAACCTTTTTCTCCTAATATTATGACCTTATTTCTGTAATTTTACAACTTTTTATTCTTGTAATATTACATCTTGATTCTCATTATATTCAGACCTTTTTCTCGTATTATTATAGCTTTATTCTTGTACAATTTTTCCTTGTAAATTATGACTTATTGTACAATATTCTTTGTAATATTAAAAATACTTTTGTACAACTTTTTTGTCCTAATGTTATGATTTTGTAATTGCAATATTACAACTTTTTATTCTTGTAATGTCACAACTTTATTTTTGTACAACTTTATTTTTGTACAACTTTATTCTTATGATATTACAATTTTATTCTTGTACAACTTTTTATTCTCATATTATGACTTTAGTCTTGTAATATTATGACTATTCGTGTACAACATTTTTTGCACAATATTCTATATTAAACAAGATTAAAGCCATAATGTAAAAAAAAAAAGTCAATACTGCTATAATATTAAGCAGTATTGACTTTTTTTACATTATGGCTTTAATCTTGTTTAATATAATAAAAAAAAGTCTCAAAGTGTGGCCTTAGTACTCCATAGTACAAGTGAAATCTGTCGTCACATGAAACCTTGTAGATGGAAACACACAGATACCTTTATTTTATATTCTGCACTGCAGCTCCTGATCGTGGACCTGATTTCTGGAGAATCCGTGAAGATGATCTTTACAGAAACACATCTAACATCACTCTGTGGTTTGAGGTAAAATTTAAAAAAAAGAGGGAAAATATAAAACAGTTTGACAAAATTGCTCCTCTTTGTAAACTTTAATAATATCGAAATATTAATTTCACGTTTTTGTTTTCCAGCACCTCCCAGTCTCTGGAAGATCCTTCTGCGTGGATGGATTCATCGTTCAGCACCAGACCAGGAACGGATCTGTGCTGAGGAAGCAGATTGACCTGSTGTCCTCCTACAGCTTCGAGTGGAACCAGGAGCTCCAGACGGTCTCTGTGGAAGCGTACAACAGCCTGGGGAGCTCCAGCAGCAACACCAACATGACACTGGAGAAACAACCTAAACGTAAGCAAGAAGGAATCCAACAGGAAGGTGGCACAGTCTCAGAGGAAATTAATCTACTTAGTACACAATAGTAAGAGGCTCTGACCTCAGAGCTGGGATCTGGACCTGTTCCTGGGGAAAATATTTAATCATCATTACACTGGAACTGCAGGAGAAGCTCACATTATAAACAAATAATAAATTATCTGGGTTTGCGCTGAACAACTCAAATGAACAGTATTCATGTAGAGAAACAGAAAGTGAGGAGTAATCAGTTAAAACCGCCGATACTTCCATTTTTACTGAGAGATTCATTAACAGTGATTACAGTGAAGCACAACATGGCAGCTAGTGTTCTGCTCCTGGATTCAAACTTCTGAGAAATACAAATGAACCAAACATGTTCAGGAAGCTGATGATAAATWACCTAATGGAAGGCAGGGTAATATTTATTTACGGTTTGTTTTCTTTAAACATTTTAGGAGAAAAACATCACTTACCGGTAATGTTGGGTTTTATCAACCAGGAGAGCTGTTTTTATTGTATCATTCATTTGTACCTGACCAGTTTACGTCTACCTGCCTTTACAACACATAACGGGAGAAAAAAATCTGTGTTATGGAACAAAAACATGGATCCAATTTAAGCATCAAAACATGTTTCAGWAGACTTTATATAAAAAAATGTAGGTGCAGAGTCCATTAGCGTTAATGGTGTGAGCGAATCGAAGAGAGGCAGAAAGGTTCAGTCACAGTATTCTGTATGTTTATGTGTAATTTACTCAGAATTAAGAGCTGAACACGGTTTTTCTCTGAAAAATAACCAGTTTTTGTAATTCTGAAAACACAGCTTGTTAAAGTTTTAAAGTACACACTTAAAAAAGCATCAAATTAAAACCAGCAAACTGGTGCCCAGAAAACACTGAAAAGACAAAATCTTACGGTACATAAGATATAATATTTCAATTAATATTATATCACTGAATCATTAAATACATGTCTGTACACAGTGGCGTGCACAGACATTTTTGGGGGGCCTGTGCTCAAATGTAAAAAAAAAACAAAAAACGACTCCTTGTGCAGCACAAAGACACACCGGCTGTCCTGGTATTGTTAAATTAATAAAAGGCGGAGCTTGTAYGTTGTGTTTATCTATTTAATATCCAAAACACCACATGTTGATTTATGTAACAATCAAATGGGCAACAACAGAACAAAGACTAAAGACAATTTTTGCAAACTTTAGTGTCTATAAAACAACTACACTGCCTGGCCAAAAAAAGGTCACACTCTAATATTTCACTGGACCTCGTTTAGCTTTGATTACAGCACACATTCACTGTGGCATTGTTTTTGATAAKCTTCCTAAACCTGACAAACTGCAGCAACCACAGATCACAGCACTGCCCCCACAGGGTTGTGGATCCTGGAAGACGATGGGTTTCCACTGTCCTTCCAGTTTTTAATAATGTGTTGGACAGTTCTTAACCCAGTTTTAGTTTTTGCAATCTCCTTAGATGTTTTCTCTGTTTGCTGCCAAATGATTTGACCCTCCTCAAACAGACTGACATATTTTCCACGACCACAGGATGTGCCTTTCCATGTGGTTCTTTACGAAATGAGAAGTAACTCACGGCATCATCCATCTATCCATCCATTTTCTGTACACGCTTATTCCTTTCAGGGTCACTGGTGCGCATATCCAGCAGTCGCAGTGCGAGAGGCGGGGTACACGCTGGACAGGTCGCAAGTCCATCACAGCTCACGGCATCAGTTGGGGTTAACTAACTTGTTGCCAGCTGAACGATAATCACCCATGCAGTAATTATCCAATAGGAGGCTCGTACCTATTCGCTTAGTTAAATCCAGGTGGCAACTTTTACAAAGTTGCTCACAGCTTCCCTGTTCTTAAGAATCTTCCTTTCATCTCTCCTTCATTTGGCTCAGAGAGGTCTGTTTCTGTTCACGCTCTGGATTCAAATGTTTCAGCTTCATGTGTCTGATATTTTCATGCAAAATTTGTTTGGCTCAGTTCCAGCCCACAGATTGCACTAACCAGATACAGCAAAGAATGAGGGTCCTTTGGAGGCCCAGATGTGGTTTGCCAAAGGTAGTTTGTGCAGGGGGCCAGCACCACATAAAACAAGTTTCAACTGGGCCAGTTGTGGTTTACTTTCTTAAGAACAGTGCCATCATTGCCAGACCTGGCCCACATCTTGACAAACCTTTCCACGCCAGCAGTGTCATCTTGACACCAGCTCTGGCCCACACCTATCTGCTTTGTCTCCCTCATCTTCCACGCTCATAGATGTCCTCCTGCAGGACAGGACAGAGCAACTTCTCTGCTGCAGCAGCCTAGAAGACCAACAAATTGAAATATAATGTTTATTTGGGTAAAACTCCTTGGTCAATGCACAATAAATAACATTTAGACTCAACTGGTTTCTTCGTGTCGCTGCTCCTTTGACGGCTGTGSTCCTGTTCTCCGACACAGGCCGCTGTGTGCGTTCCTTCCGTGTTTCGATCGTAAACAGCACCTGCGTGTCTCTGTCCTGGAGCCTGCTAGACGTCAGCTCAGTCCCAGTCTTCATGGTGGTCCAATGGTTCCCAACAAGCCGGCAGGACTCTGAGGACTTTGGCCTGAGAGGACAAACGTGGGCCAGACTGCCTTACACTGAGCAGCCCAAGTTGTTAAGAGGTGAAACCTTTTCTTTGTGTTTTCTCTATTAATAATGTTTAATATTCTTATCCAAACTGACCTGTTGTCATTTTGACTTATTATTAAAGGGAATTTTTTTAGTTCAGAGGAGTACGGTTTCTACCTGTACCCCGTGTTTGAAGATGGAGAAGGGGAACCGGTGTTCACTTTAAGTACGTGCAGTATTTTGTTCACGTTTTTGTCAACGCCAGTTTTTTTTTTTTACAATCAGTGTGTTAAATGTCTGATGTGTATTTTCCTTTTAACACAGCAACAAGAGGAGACCATGCTGCATACATTCTGCTGATGTTCATCAGCTTCCTCTGTATCGTTGTGCTGGTCACCCTGCTTCTCTCCCAAAACCAGTAAATACTCTTTATGTTTTCATTTTATTCAAATATTTGACCTTTTTTTTGTAATAATAGACTATTAGACCTTTATGAGAAATAATGGCAATTTCTGATGTGCCATCTAACACAGGAAATTATTCATGAARAATTAGAAAAGTGACATTTAACAGGTCACAGGGGGGTAATTACACTCGTTAATAGGAGGTGAGGGAGTGGTGCAGTATTTTGCATTTATATATTGTTTTATTTCCAGGATGAAGAGGTTTGTATGGAAGGATGTTCCCAACCCAAATAAATGTTCGTGGGCCAAAGGACTCGACTTCAAAACGGTAAAAACATAYAAATGATGTTGAATGTTTCTGTGGAACAATCTGCAGAGCCCCCTAGTGGTCAGAAAAGGAAAAAAWTTGGTTTCACTTCATTGAAATCAGAAATTAGAATCTGTTAACSTTTTAATTTAGGTAATGTGTTTCAGTTTAGTTTATTTTCATTCCCTTTTCCCTGTTATTTTGTACTTGTTTCATCTACTTTTAGTTTTTTTAATTTTTACCCAATTTTCTTTGCTCTTTTCTGATTTTTAACCCATTTTTGCTCTTTCAACTGATTTTTTTAACCTTTATTTCAACTGGCAAAACAATAAGAACAGTTTCCTATTTACAATGTTGGCCTGAGAGTGCAAAAACACTTAAAACACTTAAAAATGGGAAGATGGGGAAGGGAAACAACATAAACAGTACATAAACTTTTTTACTTTAGTTGACCTACTTTCAGCAAAAGTTAGCAAACTGAACGTGTATTAACAGTTTTGCTTTCAGCATTAAGCATTCTCTTTGCATTTTCGCAGGAAATTCAATTTCTCTAGTTTATTTTGTTGTTTTATCACTTTTTGGGAAGAAATCGTGCTTTTAGTTTATAATTTACCCTCTTTCTCTCAGTATTGTTAAGTAATTGAGAGGATTTAGTGACACACATCACAGCCAGATAATCTATAGTCTCTGTGGTGAAAAAAAACTATTATAAGATGGTTAATTAATGTTTGTTTTGAGCTAATATGAGAAACCTAATTTTAAATATCAGAAATTTGATTCAGTTAATGTTTGTTAATCGTAGACTACAACAGCATGAAGTGTGTGAAACAGGAGGTCTCCTGGGGTCCCGAGGCTTTACTGGTGTGGCTTAAATGAAAATAAGAGCCAAACAGCTGRCATGCCTTGTTCTGATTATGGTCGATYGATCTGCTACCAGCTCCTCTGAAAAGGTCCCTCATAAGGCTGTGTTCACTTCAGGCAAATTCAACCCATATCTGATAATTTWATGACAGTCTGAACAMGACAAATCTGATTTTTTTTTTCAAATCCGACCCAGGCCTTTTCAGTACGTGGTGCTGAATCGGACACTTATCTGATGTTTTTCAAAGCGACTGTCGCWTTACATCTGACTTTTTCATCAGTGAGGTGGGGGCGAACGGATCAATAAAYACTCTACCCTCCAGTCACGCTGTTTGAATCTGCAGCTCCACACGTCTTCAGCTACAGAACAGAAGTGCAGCTGCTTTGTCTTTTTTCTTTTCATTTTCCGTGTCCTGGATGACTGAGAGTCCGCAGAAACATGATAGTAACCTCCAACTTCGACYGCGAACCGCGTCCATCCTAAAGTTCGATACTTCCAGCACTACTTTTCAAAAATAAAATGCTTCACCGAAGCACCCGGTCAGAGGCAGGTTCAGATATAAACACTGAACTAAACAAGCAGGTTAGATAATTATTTAATCAGCTCTGATTGCACAGCAACTTCACAGTTGATAACAAGTAGCATCCATGCTAACTCTGTAAACAAACAGCAGCTGAATGTGACGTCACGTCTTTTCTGCACATCAGTGCCGTGGAGCGTTCACACGGGAGTCTGATGGAGTTTGTGTTTAAAATGTAATGTGAACGTTCACGCCGAAAGATCTGATCTTTTACCAAAGAATCAGAATTTAGCATTAAGACCTGCAGTGTGAACGTAGCCTTAATAACATCATGTCATTTGTTTAGTGTTCATCAAAAATACGAAACCTGCAAAATGTTGTTAAAGCTGTTTGGACTTGACAGCCTCACAGTGAGAATAAAGCTCCCCTCTAAACCCACAATGAAAAGATTAGACATTTTTTAAAATGTAGAATTTCAAAAACATTGTATTTTTTTTTAACTTAAGTAGCTATGTTTGTACAGAGCAGGAGTCTGCAACCTGCGGCTCTGGGGCCACATGTGGCTCTTTGTCCCTCAGCAGTGGCTCTTTGAAAATGTAACCAAACATAACAGAATATTTTTTTGTTTGTTTTTTATACTCACAACAKAGATCAATTTGTATCCAAATATGTGATCAATACTAAGACAAAAAGTAAAACATGCTAGCCTGCTATGTACTTAAATAGCTTCTTTCTATGATATTTCTCTCAAATCCATCAGAATTATCTTTAAAGAATTTGAAGACTACATAATTATAAGAATTAGATTTWAAAAAATGCCTGAATATTTCAGTTGTACTAGTTTTTATGAAATTTGTTACAAATTACATACAGTATTTTTCTTGTTTACATGAATATGGTCTTTTCATTTGTCCTGATGTGTAATAATAATAATAAATAGTAAATTTCACAATAGATTTTTTGGTTTTATAATGTCGCCTCTACTGGCCGTACAGGTTCCCAAAATGGCCTCGAAAAGGCCCAGGAACCACCAGTTGATAASTGCAGTTGTAGCTTGTTTTGCGGCTCTGGACAAATTTTATCAGTGCATCAAGTAGCAGAAATGGCTCTTGTGATTGTAAAGGTTGCAGACCCCTGGTACAGAGTCATAAGGCTTTTCATTGGTTTTTACTCATCAAAAGCCAGCTCAGAGTTCTTGGACACATCATGTATTAATCCCAGTTGTTTTTAATCTTAATGAAATAAWAATAACCAATCTGATCCGACATTACACCCAGAATGGCGCCAAATAAAGCACAAAGTCATCTACAGTATTTAGAACATTCAGAAATGTTTTCATGAATGTTAGCTTGTCAAAGTAAGCTAAAGCTAGCTGTCACGTTGTCTCGTCTTAAAAAAAACTCTCTCTCCTCCTGGCCACACCTCCTCGCTCACCCGCCCTCACCCCCTYAGAGTCTCCACTTTGTATGCATTTTTCAAATTTGCGTTGGGGGCGGAGTTRCACTTTAAATGTCCTTTAAATGTCCTCTCTGAAATGGATTTGTTTTCTCTGTCCAGGTGGACCCCTTTGAGCGCCTGTTTTACTCTCCAGAAGGTCTTCCAACCCTACCGCTGCCCTCTGAGGAGATTTCTAAAGTCATCATTATAGACAAAGCTCTGACGAAGGCCTTAATCCAAACCCGGAGGTCCCTGACCCCCCTGACCCCTGACCCCACCGCAGCCTCAGACAGCTCCTTCCTGCCGTGGTTTGATCCGAATGTTGAGCAGTCAGCAGAAAACGGAGCCCCGACCCCAACAGCTTCAACTCAAACACTGGACGAATTACAACCAACTGATCCGATCGTGGCCCACATTCCAGCCGACGCCCCCAGCTCCGCCCAGTCTTCCGTCACGTACTCCAAAGTGCTGCTCTCTGACGCGAAGCGGGACCGGCAGCCCGTGGAGCTCCACTTCAGGGACGGCAGCAGGAGCAGCTCCAGCGACGAGGGCAATTTCTCTGCCAACAACTCGGACATTTCGGAATCCGCCGCCGGGGGCCTGTGGGAGCTGGACAGCTGTCCCGGAGCCGAGGYGGACGATCCGAGGCGCTCCTGCTCCTACAACTCGGTGGAGGAGCTTTCAGAGACGTCGGAGCAAGAAGATGAAGAAGGAGCACCGGCGGAGCAGGGGAGGCACCTGTGTTACCTCGAATTAAAATACCCCGAGGGTGAGGAGAGCGAGGAGGACGAGGAGCGGAGAGAAGAGGAGGCAGAAACTGAGCTCCTTAAAACGGTTCTGAGCAGAGAGGACTGTGTGGAGCTGCGTCCTCTGCTCAGCCCAAAAGGTTCCGGTCAAACCGACAAGCTGCTGGTGGCGTCAGCGCGTGGCTTCCCCTCTCTGTACCTGCCTCAGTACAGAAGTGATGCGTGCACGAGACAGTTCCACACACCTGACAGCAAACCATGACTCTGGTCCAAACTTTACTCCATTGTGCTGTGAACAAAGTCACGCTTACGCAGATCGTTTGTTCCCATCAGACAGCTGGAAAATGTTAAAAAACATAATAATAATACCTCAACTGTGAATGTGAGTGGAAAACTGTTAATTATTATTATTAAAGATGTCCARAGGACACACTTTTCATGAACAGGTTTTCATGAATTATTTTATTTTACTAAGCTCAGATTCCACTGTGACTCACAGCAGCTGTTCAGTATTTGTGATTGATGCAAAAAAAAAGGTAAATAAAAAAATGTAAAGAGATCAGCAGACCAGTTGAAAACACTGGGACTTGTGTTTTACGTAGTAACACAAAAAAGATTGATATCTGCTGGTTTCAGACGTGTAGATGTTTATTTTTACATTTAAATGTTTGCTTTAAGACAACCTTTTAGCTTTCTGCTGAATGTCTTTCTGTTGTGTTTGTGTTAAAAATAAATATGGGTAGAAGAAAAAAAAGAATATAGAAATGCACAAAGACAAAGAAAAGTCACGATCTACAGATATTCGGTTCCTTTAGTTGGACACTAAAATCGAGGCAAAACCTGATGCTTTCTTTAAAAGGAAACATATCCTGCTTTTAAATCTGTCTTTTCAACTTTAAGTTCAGTTGGGGTCTAAAGTGGAGCTGCAATGGTTTGGTCTGAATTCCTCATTATTGTAACTCCACAAGCCCCTCTTTCACCCATTTCTCTGAGGTGTGTCTCAGATCAACTCGTTTTGAAGCTGCCTCTTTAAATCCAAATGAGGCGTTTCACACACACACACACACACACACACACACA